CGTGTTTAAAAATAGAGTCGCGTCCCCAGAAGCGACTCACACGTTCCTTCTCTTTATATCTATAGAAGATGATATGGATAGTTTTATTAAGAGAACGCTGAAGGATAGTGTGTGCATGCTACCTAAAACAGAAAACCCGAAATTCTCCAGGGTAAGTCTAAGTTTTAGGGTCCAAGTAAGCACATCAAAAGTTTTATAAAAGAAGGTGTTCTGGGTGTGACTGCTCGAAAGCTGCAGACAGAGTGACCAGTTTCTTATTTAACGTCTTGCGGTTTATGGCGGCGTCTCGAGTATGGGTCGGAGATGTGTCTACTGTTTCGTGTGGTATGCCACATATGGACCCGGTCCTCCCTGCTGCTGCCGGTGCATTCATGTGGAAATGAGTGCAGCCGCCAGCACACACTCACACACACACACACACACACATACAACACTAAAACGAAGAGAGAAAAGGAAAATAAAACCAAAACCAAACCTCGCACAGTGGGAAAACAATGCCCATGGTTGCCCCTTCTGTTGCCCCCTGGGCCATCCCATCTCCAGTGCTTCTGCTGGCGACGCGACTGCTGCATAAGTGGTAATAATAATTCCGCTCAAGAGGCGTCGCCCGGCGTTTCATTTCAATGACACACAAACCGTCGACAACCAGTACAACAGCAAGGGAAATGCCGAAGCTTTTGATACCCTCTTTTGGATGTGGCAGTCCCATGGCTGTTCGTCATCCCTCTTGGGGTTGCAGGCGTCCGGTGGAAATCAAAGTACTCTGCATGGCGCTGGCTGAGGCTGAGGCTGGCGATGGAGATGGAGATGATTATTATGATGCCGCTGACGTGAATGGCAAAATGCTAAATGTTGGGTTGTTGGGTGCAGCAGAATCCGTGTTTTTGTCATCGAGGCGACCCGCATCGTCTAATGGCACACACATACACACACACACTTGCATGTAAGTGCATATGTATGATTCAATCTGAGATGCATTTGTATGTAGGGTTCCCCCAGAAACGAATATTGTATACTCTCTCCACATGCAAATACTCACAGGTAAATAAATGACATTTTATGCCCTTTCCCAGCCCCCTTTGTAAAACAAACCGCACTGGAAAACTTAAAGGCCATTCTGTAGTGTGCGAATTAGTCTGCAAAGGCACCCGAAGAAAGGCACCTTCCCCCGTCCACTGATCGACTGGCTGCTCCTCTCCCGATGGCTTAATATTGCGTATGCATGGCGGCCGCTCGGCATTCATTCATTGCCCCGCCGACCGACTGTCTATCGGTCTGGTCTGGTCTGGTCTGGTCTGTCCCTGCTGACTCTGACCCCCTCTCTTCGGCTGTCTCTGCTGCATTTCCCTGTCCCTTTCTGCAACTGTCTTTGCTGCCTCTTTCCCCCTCCCTGTGACTCCTTTGATTGCATTGTCTCGTCATGGTCTCGAGTGGTTCCTGGCACCGCTTTTTTGCCCTCCTTCCCGTTCCCCTTCTCTGTTGCTTTTCGCTTTTTATAGTTCTCACTCACTCCATTGTGCAGGCACCCCCCCAGTCCCTTCCTTAACATTTTTCTCTCTCTCTCTCTGCCGCTCACTTGACATACAATTATGCTGATGACATTGTTGTTTATATGCCTTCCTTCACTCAGATGTACTGATGCGCCCCCCACTCCACTGCTGCTGGTTGCTTCTGCTTCACCCTCACTTCAGCTGCTCTGCAAGGTATATTTATACGAGGTGGCGCTGACCCAAAAGTGGGCTCCCACGATAAGCATTTGCAGGCGCCATCTGCATACACAGAGACAGAAATATATCAAAATGGAAGCATGTGGCTCGATGGACGGTCTCCTCACCTCGTATGCGTAGGTACCTTGAGTAGAAGCTTCTGTATCTCCTCCTAGTGCTGTTGCTTCTCTGCTTTCTCTGTTCGTATTACCTTTTGGAAGGTATTAATTTTGATCAGATATTTGCAACGCATAGAATGGGCCATTTCCCCTTTTACATAACTTGGCCCCATGTTGCCTCCCAATCGGATGAATCTTTCACAAATTCTACCATATCCACAATAGATTTGAAAGGGTATCCCGAGCTGTGGTGCTTTCGCCTTCTTCTGCTTTTTGTTGCTTCCTTCAACTGTTGGTTGCAACAATAATGCTGACAATTTTTATGTGCATTCTGGGGCTGTGCTGCTGCTGCTGCTGCCGCTGCAGTATAGTAGGCCCATATATCTCTCTCGCTCGCGTTTCTCGCATATCTCTCTAGATGGCCATAGCTGCATTTTTATTGTTATCGTTTCATTGCCATTTGCTGACGCCGAAGCGGACGTGGACGCCGAAGGAGCCGCTGAAACAGCATCCGAATGAGAGCAGTTTTGCTCGTTTCGCGGCGGCCTTAATTAAAAATTCTTTGGGTGTCAAATGGTCCAATGGTGGTGTAGATGTTGTTGCTCTGATAGCTCTAGGGTTTCCCTTTGACCAAGACGAGGTCTGGTCTTCTCTTCTGTTCGTCTTACCCTTCAAGGGGGACCGTGTCATCACTTCCAGCAAGTTGTATTCATTCCGAGAAGTAACCGCATAAATTATTCCTTTGATACGCAACTACTAAGGATTCCACAGAGTTGATCAAATGCCCTCAACCGAGAACGAGATGAAACGCTCTGTGGATGGCCCTGGGCTGAGCCGAGGAACGGAACCCCTAAGATTGCGTTTAATGAAGAGAAATGAAGGAAATTGATGACTTGACAGATTGAAGTTTCCAGTTTGCCAAGTTCCCTCGAACCTCGAACCTCGAACCCAGCGAGAAATCTAATAAATTTGCACCAGCACGTAACACGAAATATGCGTGTAAATTTCACTTATTGATTTATGGGGAGGTATTCCACATACGGGGGATACGATACCGCACTATATATGAATGAGGATATATGCATGCGCTCTATGGGGCGGCTGGGTGGCTGGGGCGGCTAGGGCGGCAAAGGAAAGCATTTGTATAAATACGCAAAATAATGGCATCTCCAATGTGCGAACTTCCTCTGACCATAAATCAAGATGAGCCCGGGCCCGGGCCCAAACAAAACGATTTTCATTCTACTATATTTCAGCGCATCGTCGTCTCCTTCCCGCGATTATACTCGTATATCTGTACATATGTATTTTCGGCTGGGCTGGGCTGGGCCTGGGCCTGTGCTGTGCCCCACCCTTCTTGCGGGTCGGTGGAAAAGTTCTATTTGATTTGGTATTAGGAGGGAGCAAAACTGCTGAGCTCACATAAATTCCGCTTTTAAACAGAAATTAGTGTGGGGCCGGAGAGGCGAACTGAATGGAACGGAACTTGGAACCGCCCGAGAGATTAAAGTTGGAAACGTGCTGAAGTACGTGGCTGGGAAATCATTTTGTTCTGGCTGCGCTGCGTGGAAAATACATTTTTTGCCATCTCAGCCCTCAGCCCAGGCTCTGACTATGGCTGTGGGGATCTGTCGGAGAGATGGGACGTGAAAGTTTTTTGAACCGAAAATTACTTGAGCAAATATTGCTTTGTTCAATCGCCGGCTGCTTGGAAAATTATGAAGGAAAACTTGCTGCTGGAGCCACTGCCACAGCCACTGCTACGGCTACTGCCACTGCTGTTGGAGCAATTAGAAAAGTTTCCGGGCCAACTGTCTCAGATGGCATGAGGAGGAAACTTTTCCACCGAGCAAAATCAAAAATCAATAGCCAGGAGAGCGCCGAACCACCGAGCAAGCCAGAGACAAAGACAAAGAAAGCAACTTTATGGCCACAAAATCACAAATTGAATTTCCCAAGAAGACCCACACACACACACACACACACACACTCGCACTCAACCCCTTTCTTCCTTCTGGCTGCAAGAGGGTGCCGGGCTGGTTGGTCTATTGACTTTACTGCTTTAATGAGATTCGATTCGATTGCCGGGGCGGGCTCTGGGCCGCCGCTGTCAAGGCTGAGCGCATGCCTAACGCCCTTCCCGAAATCATTTAATTGCACACGCGGCCCTTAAAAGAGACGAAGTCGAGGTCCATGGTCCGTGGTCCGGCCCTACCTGCCCTAGTCTCCTGTCCCTGTTCCCTGGGTCACGAACATATGGCGCATAGTGCGAGTGCCTCGTAAAAAATTATCTCTTGCATTGTTTCGTGGCACGGTTGGGGTGCTCATAAAATCTAGCCGGGCCAGGCCAGGCCCAGCCCTAGGCACGAACAGCAGACCCATACCCAGACCCAACCCAACCGAACCGAACCGGCGACGGTCGGCATAAATCACTAGAAACTTGTTAATTGTGCGCCTATTTATTAGATGCATTTGGTGTTCGGGAAAAATTGGGCATCGAGGTGGTAAGTGATAGGAAAAAAAAAAACAGACAGCCGACAGGTGACTGGGCTCGCTCAGGGAGTGCCGCTGCCTCGTCCCCCCTCTGCCGCTTTTCGAGTTCGATAAGATATAAAGACACTTCAGAGACAGGGAACAGGGGAAGCGGACAGCGACAGCCCCGACCAAAGTTGAGAAATCAAACAAGCCGTTTCAAGGAATCCATTTCAATCAAACAAACACTCTTTGAACTGATGGAACAGGAACGTTCACGTTCTTTGGAAGAACACTTTATTGATGCTCAAATTACGAGTGTTATTAAGCATTAAAAGAGCTCCCTGGAAGCAGGTTCTTTCTCTCACGCATTGAGGAACGCAATTGAGTTGAATCATGGCTATTTTTAAGTACACTTGCTAGGGGTACTACTACTCACGATCCACAGATCTTTCGCACATCTTTGCCGAATATTACTTGGAGAATATTCTCGCGAAGTGCCATGCAATTACGATGTCTGATCACATCATCAATGGCATAGCTGGTAGAGTAATAACCGTGGAGATTGCGAGTGGGAAACCCTATAATTTCCAAGGGTATTTAAAGCTTCGACCCACTGCATCTGCCTCTGCCTCTGCCTCTGCAACCGGCCTTGATTGCTGGCTCCGATGTGGTTTAGCCACTTTTGATCTTAGTTAATCTTAATTTTGCACCAAAACCCGTTTCCCCTTAGAGTTCTGGAGTGAAGTGCTGCTGGCAGAAACAGAATTTGTGGATATCATTCGGGGTAGTTGCAATCTGCTGCCAGTTAGATCGACATCATGTCTCCTAGAACCATCAGTGCGGTGAGTCTCTGGGGATTTGATGGAGAGTTTGTACATAAATAAAGAGTGCCCCTAGTGGATTCTTGTCCTGTGGATTAGTTGCTGTGAGCTGGAATCAGCCTGCGGCCGGCAATACCGACTGAGGATCACTCATCCAGATGGAACAGGATTTCGCAGCGAGCTGGTCGAGGAGGCGGAGGGCCATCAGCAGATCGAGGGAGAAATTCGACAATCGTACAGGGAAGGAGGCACTCTGATCCTCTTCTACAAAGCTGGTCCCGATGGCTATCGCAGTCGTTACACCTATGAGACGGGCCCAGCTCCGAAATCCTCCAATGGTACGCTGCCCATCAAGAGAATCGGTGCGAATGCCTTGAAATCTTCAGTGGGCTAACAAAGAACGTAAAATATTCTTCCATAAAGTATCCAAATATTTAACTTAACCTTTGAATAAAATCTAAATGGAAGAGAATTTGCATCATTATTTGGTTTATTTTTGGACTCAACCAGAGATAATGCCAAACAAGTTTAAGCCAAACCAGTCAAGTAATTATTATTCCCCCGAAACACCTAAGATATATACTATAGATATGTGTACACTCAGAATTTACAAATGATTAATTATATGCGTATGTTGCTCGTAATTATTTAAGAACTTTATCTGCAGTTTTCGTTCCCTGTTTTATGGATTGCTCTGCCCTAGTTCTAGGCTAGCCTCTTCAACCTTTCCGTATATAGATTGTACATACATACATGTGTATGTACTTATTTACATATTTCCACTCCAATAACGAACTGAACATTACCCCACTTGCCCAGCCCCTGTTCCGCCATCTATCAGTCAGCAATCCAAACCATTTGAATCAACATAAGCGCTAACAAATATTTATGGGCAATGGAGCGAATGTTTCCATTTCGAAGCGCTTATTTATTTGTGAAACAACTTTTCCAGCCAAATGCAGGCGCACACCCCTACACACCCAAACACACCCATACAACAAATAGTATCTATGAGTGAGTGTGTGCGGTGGTGTATGCCAACAAATACAAAATTCTGTTTCTGTTCTGTTCAATTTGTGTGTGTTTTTCTGCTTTGCCAGCCAGCATTTAAGGTTTTTATTTGGTTTCATTAATGACAATGCTGTTGTGGCCAATATTGACATGTTCCATCGCTCCCTCTGTTTCTGTATGCTCTCAATATGGCAGGGCCCTCGCTTTTCTGTACTCTCAATATGGCAGGGGGCGGTAGGAGGTCGTGGCAGCGTAAAACTAAGTCAATTGCGTCAAAGTACCCATGCCCATCGTCAGTGTTAGGGCACTACTCAGAGGGGGTCCCGGGTTTCATTTGATGCCCAATGCTCATAGATCAGAATATATTCAAGAACAAAGAGCTTCCGCGAATGGATCTCAAGAACCGAAGTAGCTGGAGCAAATAAGTTTTTCGTGCAGCATTATGGGATTGCTGCAACCTTCGCTGCTCTCCTCTATGTGCTACGCTCTCTGCAACCCTTTCTCATTTTTAAAGTTTTAAATACTCCAATTAAATACCATGCTGATTTATCGGGAAATTACAGGTATCTAAGGTGGGGATCTGAGCATATATCATTCTGCATGTGCCACTTTATCCTGGACATAGTTATTCCTTTATTTAAAAAAATGATACAGAAAACTTATTTTTGTACGCAACTGGGATAAAACCTTTTGGGACTTGGCAAGTTTAATAACGATTTAATGCTGTCATAGTTTCTTCCCTTGTTGGAGTGCTCTTCCATTTCCAATTCAAATAAATTGTTCCACGAAATTGTTGATTGGCGGATATTTTCCCGTCGTTATACTGCTCCATAGCCTTCGCATTGCTACTATACGGTTGTAAGTATTCTTATTTATTGTTTGTTTAGTTGCTTGACGATGATGATGATGATGACGACTGCCAACTGTCGACAAGGGCCTCTGTTGTGTTGTCTATTTATAAGAATTATATTTGCACTCTTTGGGGCCCTGCTGTGCTCATTTGTATTTTCAACAGGGCCACACTACACACATGTGTGTACACTGTACAGTGTGCACACACGCGTAAATACGTATGCGGGCAGAACCATTCAGAAGAATTGTTTCGTGTGCTTCAATTACTTTCATAAATTATCAATAATTGGCTAATGTGTGGTTATCAGCAGCGAAAGCGTGGAACCATCTGCCGAGGAGTGGGACACGGCAAACGACGGACAGCCAGGCCAGTATCCATCCATCCATCCATTCCCCCCTTCTATCAGGTGCGCGCACTGAATGGGTCGGAAAATGATTTGAAATTCATAAGCTCATTAAATTTTCAGCAGAAAGCAGACAACAGACAGCAGACAGAACAGTGAGGAGGCAGCAGGAGTCGGCAGTCAGCAGTCAGCAGTTTCCCCTTGCTGTTCGCCGGTACGGGACAGAGACAGAGACAGACACTGGGCAAATACAATTAAAATGCCATAAAGCAAATTAGCCAAGACAAACTTTTCATATTTTGCCGCGAGCTGTGCAAATTAGTTGGGGGCCAAGACGAGGGAGGGATAGTGCTCGAACCAAGGACAACCACGTTGATGGGTAGGATGGGTGGAATGGAAGTCGAATGGAAGTCGAATGGAATGGGCAGGATGATGACGGGGGCTGTGCGCGCACTAAAACACATCCTGCGCCTTTGGTAATTGCCGGGCGGGCGGCGCACTCGTGCTGGCAACTTCAGCAAATTGTTGGCAATTATGATTATGTGGCACAAAGTAAAGTAAAACACACAGCAACAGCAGCAGCAACAGAATGCCACGACGCGTCGCGACGGTGGAAAAATTCAGGAGAAAACGAAGCATTCGCCAAACATCCGAGGGAAAATCTCTTTGATGGCCAGATTATTGTAAAAGATCGATGAGGAGTCGACGAAGGGGTTACTCAGTAGGGGGGCAAAGGACTGAACTATGAACCCAAGAATAAAGAGAGATATAGCTAGAGAGGTATAGATATTCGAATAATTTAAAGCTAAAGTAATGCGTATGAATAATATGATTGATAGACTTAAATCGTTGAGCGGAAATATTTATCTTAATCTCTCCCACTGCCCGACAACTTTCCCCCTTAAATGTTCAACTAAGTAATGGGTATTAAAGGTAATGAGAATCCGAGAATACGAAACCAAAATCTCAACTCTGGGGTGGCAGTCGTCTAAGCCCTCCAATTTCGCTGCAGCCACGGCCACGCCCTACGTTCAGGGGCAGGGCAGGGCAGGGCAGTCGTGGCACACTGTTCCCCTCCATCCGCTCGACAACCTGCTGGCAAGTGTATTAAATTATAATTATTTGTGCATGACAAAGGGTCATGAAACATGCCTAATGACACATTTGCCACAGACTCTGAACAAAACGCAGCAGCAGCAGAAGCAGCAGCAGCAGCAGCAGCAACGGGGGAAGGTAGTGGAAAGAGGGTCGCGACATGCACACCCAAGGGGCAGACACACACACACACACACTCTCTCTCTCTCTGTATTTCTCCCATCCCTCTGGGTGAGTCCCTGGATATCGACATGGTCCGTATGTGCAGATATATTATGTATGTATGTATGTATGTATGTATGGTTGCAATTAACCACGCTCGTTATGTTCGAGGCGTGCGGCACCCAAAAAGAAATTAAACAAAGTTGCTGCAAAACTGAAAATTTCTACTTGTAATGCAACACCAGAAACAAACAGCAACAGTGGCGGCAGCCACTAAGTTGGCCTCGGGGCACGGAACGAAGCTGCTAATACCCTTAAGCAAGCGACCGTTGCAGTGGCAGATAAATTATTAACTACCGAAGTTCTCAGATATCAGCACTGGGAAGATGGTTCGACGGGCATAGGCTTCCATATTTGAAAATAAATAAAAATAAATAATAAATAAATAGATAAATAATAAATAAATAAAATAAATCTGCTAGGCAAACGTCTGGTACAAGTGACAAGACTCTCTTTTAGGGTGTAACAACAATGTTAAAGTTTGTTCTATAGCCCAGCCAAGGATGGAAGCAGCTCGCTACGTTTGGTTGGAGCCAAAGCCCAAAGCCAGAGCCAGAGCCAGACCAGGCAGTCTCGTACTCGTACTCGCACACCAGTCAGGAGTCAGCAGGTTTTTGGACTAATGTCTATTAGGCATTTGCCTTCGTTGGAAGTTTGCTGCCCCTGCTGCCGGCTGCCTCTGCTGCTTCTGGTGCTTCTGGCCCACCAACTCAACTTTTTAGTTGCCGGCACAGTGGAATGGCCAAAAGTTGGGGGAGCCAGCAGCCAGCAGCCAGCAGCAGGCAGAGAAGCGCGATAAGAGCACTTGGGAATGTTTCATGTTTTTGCTAAGGGCCTGCAGATAAGATCCTTAATGGTGGTCCCCACATTTAGTGGCTGGCTCTGGGTTCGGCTTGTAAGCAATTTTGGCTTAGTTGAGTGACCATTTAACGAATGTTTAAGGAATATTTCCGCCAAGAATTTGTTCATTAACTTAAGTATTGGAGCAGCCAAGAGCAGAAGAACTTTTACGAGTGCTACAGAACGTTCTTAACTGATTCGTTTCTTTAACCCTCATCTCGTGTCTGTGTTAAAATCGTATAAAACTACCATAAGATCTTAACCCAATTTAAAGGGAATTCCTTGTGGAAACTCTTTGGGGAAGGTTTGTTGTGGTATACTATATAAACTGAACAAATTAAGACTTGACAATTGGAGCTAATTAAACGGAATAAACCAATGAAGTACGTGCGTCCGATTAAACTAGATATTACACTAACACATTGCAATGAAGCAAACTGTTTAAACAATTCACATTACCAGAGGTGAAGCCACATATGGACATATAGATTTAATTACGGGCGACTCCGTAAGGCAGTCCTTGATGCACAATTATTAGGGGATGCCCTTCAGTGTTCTGTTTTACTATTTATGCATATTCTGATAGGATTATCCCATTCCATAATCAGGATAATCCTCAGTCAATTCAGATATGAATAAATAAAAATAAATATTTCGAAAGATATCTCAGTCTGATCCGCCTAGTCCGCTCCAACTCACATTCACAGTAACATATTCCTCGTGTTGCATTCCAAATCCGTTTTCTTGGATCTCCAGCAGTTTATGGGCAACATTGCTCAACCTTTTGATCCATCCACAACGGCAGATGACGACTTACTTTCGGTTTTCAACATGGCATGGCTTCTCGTAGCTGCAATCGTACACCCGGGCCGTGTATCATCTGTCCTCTGGGGATTAATGTGGCATTTGTTGCATTTGAAGCTCGGTTCCAGGGATCTAGCACCACGGTGACTGGGCAGGGAAATTTGAGTCTGTGGTTCGGGCCGTTTCGGCTCAAAGAAAACTCAGCTTGAGTCTTTACCTTCTTCCACTTATTTTCTTATGCTACTCCCCGCATATCTTCTTCCTCCTCTTCTTTGGGCTCTACGTGGGCAAACAGAACTCAA